TAGAAAATCTTAATAAAGCTGCTACGGTATATCAGTGTCTATGTATAGTTCACAAGTAGGAAAATATAAAAGCTGTCCGCTCTTTATGTCAAATATACTGCTTCATAATAGAGGTATATAATGGTCCATAATGGTCAGTAGCCATTAATAGCCTAAATGAGAAGCAAGAGAGCTACAGATTTACAGCCCTTTTTTTCTGGCCATCAGATTCCTCTGGGGTAACTGCTGCAAATTCAACGCATAATTTTCTGTTTCAAAAAGAAAACAGTACTGTACAAATATGTATTTGTTTTATAAAAAGAAAAACTCCTTCCAAAAACAAGTTACAATGTGCTCCTGCCCACTTGTGAGTCCTCAACTTCTTCTGAAAGTTAAATCCCTGATCAACAAAAAGCCATCAAGCCCAGGCTTAGTTCATCAGTAGTCACCATCAGTACATTTTCTGATAGAGAACTCCTAAGCATCAATTGTGTTTTATTTTAGTAACAGTGATATTCAGAGAAGGAAAAGGGCATGAGTCTGGTCTTTCTGTATTCAGCAAAGGAAAACTATCTTGTATATCTAAAAGTTTATGTACTTGCATATTTAAAGGAAAGTTTTTCCAATGCATCCTATATTGGATTTAGGGTTGAATTAAAAAGCGGAAGAGAATCCAGAATTAGCTGAGTCCCTCACAGCAAAAAATTTGAAATAGGGCTAGTAGCAGTCAATCTTCATGACTGCTAACTGAAAATAAACCATCAGGATGACTAAATCAAGGCTTTCAATATACAGAACAGGATAACACTGTAATTATGCTAGCCCAGCTAAGCCCATTTCTCCTCAAAATCAGCAATGATGGCTATTTTTTTCCCAGCCAAATAAGCTATTATCCCAACACTGACTTCAGAATATTCAGGTCAACACATTTCCCTTCAAAAAAGGGAAATAGCCTCTATTCAAAAGGCTGCTCTAAAATCTTCAATATAAAGCTATGAGCTTGTTAATCTGCCAAATCCAATCACCTAAAATTATCCAAAATATCTTCTAACTTATAACTTCCTTAACAGCAAGAGATATTGTCCTGCATTTAAAATATCAAGGAAGAGGACACTTCCTCAGAACATACCCCAAGCAAGTTTCAATCAAGGAAACAGAATAAAACCATTGGTTCTTAAGGACTGAATCCGTATCAGAAAACTCAAGATGGGATCATATCCAGAGCCATATATTAAAGACCATTCAACAATTGCCAGACATATAGGAATGGCTCTTTTCCTATGTTATTCCCATGCTATAGATTCTTGGAGCCTGGCCATCATATTCCTTTCAAGAGTAGAGTGGAGTAAAGGCTCTTCTTTTTAGTTAACTCTTCAATTAAAATCCCCTTCAAGTCAAACTCGACTTCTGGTAATTTCATGGACATGTTTGTGCTGTTTTCTGGGCAACAGTAAAAAAGGGGAGGCATTAAAATCAGCTTCTATGACTTTGATTCTGAATTTTTAAGTGTTTATTTTGTATTGGTAGTCACTCTGAAAATCATCTGAGGACAGCAATGAAACAAAAACAGCAAAGTAATAAAACCTCAATAAATTTCTCATGATATCTTTAAAATTGTTTGTCTGTCAGCATAAAGAGTTCCTTTATAACAGCTGTAAAGCACATAATTTTCAGTCAGATTTCTTAGTTCAAGTCCCATTATCTATTGGTAAGGTTGGGACAAGAAATCCTAGCAATCAAAACATACAATTCATAGCTAGCTAAACATACCTTTTACATAAAGGCAAAAACCCCAGATTTGTAAACAAGAAAATATCAGATTGAAATGCTGTCTAGAATACCTTGATTACAAACAAAGAGGCACTTCACCCAAAACTTACCACTGTATTAAAATAACTATTAGGGTACTTTTCATGTCTCGACTCTTCCAAATCTATGGTAAAAGGGGCAACTGTCTAAATCCTAAAACCACTTATGACTAGTCAAATCTCAACTTCCACACTATCCGACCCAACTGGCCCTGTCACAGTCTTTGACAGCTGTTTATCTACAAACCGGTGTGCAGCGCGGATCCCAGAACGAGACCCCCAGAGCTCTCGGGAAAGGAACTTTTTCCACAGCCCCAGCCTCCTCAGGGTTGCTCTCTTTTGTGCAGGCCTCCGAAAGGCGCCAGCTTCCCGTCAGCCAGAGATGGTGGTCGGGACGCACGGGCTTCGTCACCTACCTCTTCCCGCCTCTTCTGCCAACGCCCGCAAGGTGATTCCTCCAAGATTTCGGACTCGTCTTCGGACTCGTCCTCTTCTTCCTCCTCTTCCTCCTCCTCTTGAGTTGCCGCCGCTAGCGGCGGCGAAAGGGAGGTCATGCCGGATCCCGCAGACGCAGCCTCGGGTTTCTGGTCGGAACCGATATTGCCGGATACTTGCTTGGTTTCGCCCTCAGACATCGCCGCGACGGAGAAGGCGACCTACACGTTGAAAGAGAAGAGGCTTCTCTCAACAGGAGGGCAGGCGGGGCGGAGGCCGTTCGTGACGCAGCACCAGGACGACGCGCTTCCGCCAGAGTTACGCAGGCCCGTCCCCTCAGCGCACGGGGCAAACGGGGGAGCCCGCCGGTCCCTCACGCTCCACCAACCCGGCGTGACGAGACCTCGCCGCATACATGGCTATCACCCCGGCGACAAGAGACCGCTGTCCCCAGCCACGACAGCCCCAAAGGTAGAACTCACCGGGGCGCAGGCTAGCCTCCGCCACCGCTCGCAACCTGAAGCCAACTAACAGACGACTAGCCGCGCTGCGACGGGGGGCGCTCCAGGGACGGCAGAGGCAGGATTTAGTCGAGCCAATAAGAAGCCGACCTGCGCATCAAAGACGCGCTTGGATTGGAGAGAGTGCTGCAAGGCGGGCCCCGCGGTGGTTCTCATTCAACTCCAGCAGTCCGCCGAGCTCCGGTGGGACAAGGCGACAGGGCGGGGTCTTTATGGCTGCAGAAAATGGAACCAGATATTCCTGCGCACGTTGATACTTGGAGTGGGTCTTGCGTGACCCAGAACCAGCCCGTGTAGAGAGCTGTTCCGTATTTCCAAGCGGTCTGCGGAGCCAGTGCGAGAAAGTCGTCTTTCCAATCGGTGCGTGAAGCAAATTGACTGCGGCTAAGCTCCTCTTAGATTCCTCATTGAAATGCCATACAGGGTTAGAAAAGCTCCCTCTGATAGTAATAAAGTTTTTGAATTAGGAAGAAACAGTCCTTGATAATAGTTCTGAACATTGGTAATGGAGCATAAAACTTATGCACGAATTAACAGCTGGTTTCTACATAACCTAACTATAATCACAGTACACTGAAGCATAGTCAACTAAATCAGAGTTTTGCTGGAAATGGTCAAAAACTACACAAACCTTGATGATATGATGTAAAAACATATATCAGAATTTTCCTAATTAAGCTTCTAATTCTCCAGGTGCTGGTACTGAGATATACATATCCCCTACTGGTGATTGTCATGGTTAATAGGCAATATCATGAATTTATGTAATCTCTAAGGAATTATTGAGTGTGTCATCTGCACCTCTATAACTGTCTGGTTCAGTTCTGCAACCCAACAAGACAGACACAGACTCCAGAGTGTAATTAGGACTGCAGAAAAAACAATTACTACCAACCTACCTCCAATCGAGGATCTGTATACTGCACCAGTCAAAAAGAGGGCTGTAAAAATATTTACAGACCCCTCACATCCAGGACATAAACTGTTTCAACTCCTTCCCTCAAAATGACCCTATAGAGCACTGCACACCAGAACAACTAGACACAAGGACTGCATTACTATTAATCTTCTCATCACTCCTTATCGCACATCCCCTCCCACTTGTGACTGTATGACTGTAACTTTGTCGCTTGTATCCTTACAATTTATATTAACTGTTTCCTGGTATGATTTGATTGCCTATTGTACCCCATGACTTAAGTATGGTACCTTATTTTTTACTCTTGACGAATGTATCTTTTATGTACACTGAAAGCATTTGCACCAAGACAAATTCCTTGTGTGTCCAATCACACTTGGCCAATAAAGAATAAAGAATTCTATTAAAACCATCAAAACTGGTTCAATTGCTACAAGTGTATGGCCTAAAGTCACCCAGTTCCCTGTAGATTTGAACTTGAGTCTCTCCATTTTTTATTACAAGTATTTTCCATCAAATTGCTGTCAACTCCTAGCAATCACATAGATTTTTTTCATGACTATCTTAACCACTCAATCACATTTTATTACCCTAACTCTACAATATCCTTTTTGAGTTATAGTAGATAGAATTGTACATACTGTTCTAAGTGCACATAAAGTTCTGTAAAGGTACATATTGGCTGTTTGATTTTCAATTCCAAATGATTTTGAGCACAGAATATTGTTTTCAAATTATAGTTATAAAAATAGTTTATTAGCAAATCTGACAATAATTTTCACATTTTAACTGCCAATTCCCTAATATAGGGAATCCTTCATTTTTAACAATTCTGTTTTTAGACTACAGCTCCCTTAAATATGTACTGTAATGTCTGTTAAGCAATCTGACAAATTACCATATTAATACTTGATTTGACTATGCCACTGCCTCCTATTCCTTCTGCTTGAACTGATTGAAGTGGCTCTGTATCCAGTACACTTTTGTGCATCTTTGTGCAAACCATGATCTGGGTGACTGCGAATCTCCGAAGATATTCAGTACTGTGGACTTGCGTAGGAAATGCAGTACTGCAAAGAGAAATTCCACTTCAGTAAATGGAAATAAAACACCTTCCAGACCTTCCCCTTAGTTGCTCGGCAACCAGTGGTACGCCCTTGTCCTCCTCCTAGTCTATGATTTTGCAACATCCCGTCCGGCTTTCTCTCCTCCCAACTCTCCCATTCATTCCCTTCTGTCCTACGACTGCCTTCAATTTCCCTCACTCTCTCTAGCAACGGCTCCGCTCTGGAAACTTCTTTTTTTCCCCCCTTCGTATCATTCATCGGCCTCACATCCGGTTCCCGTGGTTCCTCGGCGGGGACTCTATGGTGTCTGTTTCCGGTCCCCAAATCGCCTTCCCTGTGTCGTTTGCTTTCTGTCTTTACCGCTCTTCCTTCTTCGGCTCGGCGGGGCCCGCGGCTGCCTTGCCATGGGTGCCTACCTGTCGCAGCCCAGCACGGCCAAGAGCTCTGGGGATGGTGTCGGAATTGGGCCGCGCCCGCTTCACTTCGGCTACAGCGCCATGCAGGGCTGGCGGGTCTCCATGGAGGTGAGGGCGGGACGGACTGAGGGCGGGAGAACGGTGTCTTGCTGGGCGATTCTGCCCTACGGGAGGCCGCAGCCTCGCTTCTTATGGCGGCTTTCAATGGGGAAAGCGCTCTGATTATTCTCAGGGCTAACAGCTAGGGACACCTCCCCCCGCCCCCGCCGTGGAGTCCCCTTACATTGGCGGAGCTGTTACTAGTTTGGTGCCCCAGTGGCACCGGCAGGCTGCGGGGGACCGTTGCGCTTGTTTTACCTGCCTGCTTTCCTGGCCCCGTCTGAAATTGCGCTTGGTCCGCTGTAGTCGCTGTTTTCCCCCTTCACCGATCCTTCTCTTTTTCAGGATGCTCACAACTGCATTCCCGATTTAGACAGTGAGACGGCAATGTTCTCTGTGTACGATGGTCATGGAGGTAAGGGTTACCCAATAACAAAGTGTCCACCCGTTTAAGGACATCTGTTGGGCCTGGGCACTTTGAGAAGGCTTATCTTGCGAGGCCCTTACAGCTCGAGGAGGCTCATTGCCGGTGTTCTTTACTCTTAGGCAGGCATTTGTTTCTAATTGAAACTGACTAGTCCAGGGGTAGGGAAACTTGGCTCTTCTATCACTTATGGACTTCAACTCCTAGAATTCCTGAGTGAGCCATAAAAGGTTCCCCATCCCTGGCCTACTGGTTTTTCAGTTGTGGGGGAAATCCATTTTTGATTTGAATGGGACTGTTTAATATACAAATGTAGGACATATGTCCTACATTTGTATATTAAACAGTCCCATTTGTATATTAAACAGTCCCATTCAAGTCAAAAATGGATTTTCCCCACAACTGAAAAACCAGTAGGCCAGGGATGGGGAACCTTTTATGGCTCACTCAGGAATTCTAGGAGTTGAAGTCCATAAGTGATAGAAGAGCCAAGTTTCCCTACCCCTGGACTAGGGTAACCAGTCACAGGTAATCCTCAACTTACCACCACAATTGGACTCAAAATTTCTGATGTTAAGTGAGACATTTGTTAAGTGAATTTTGCCCCATTTTACAACCTTTCTTGTCTCCGTTGTTAAGGGAATTGGCTTCCCCATTGACACTGCTTGTCAGAAGATCGCAAAAGGTGTTCACATGATCTTGGGACACAGCAAAGGTCATAAATATGAACCAGTTGCCAAGCATCTTCATTTTGATCATGGGGATACCAGAAAGATGGTAACTGAAAAATGGACATAAGTCACTTTTTTCAGTGCCGTAACTGTGAACGGTGACTAAATAAACTGTTGTAGGTCGAGGACTACCTGTATTATTACAACATTGCTTTTGTAGGAAGTCTTAATGGTCTAGCAGATTAACCTCTGGTTTTTGTAGAAGGATGGTCCTAACTCAATGCTAACTCCTGTGTGCCAAATAAATGGGTCTTTGAGTTATTTCAGCGCTACTCTATTTGTTTAGCTTTGGGATACCAAAACATATTTTCTCCAAAACAAACAAGAGGTTACTTGTGGGATGAAACAAAGGATTGTCAGTTTCTAACTGTTGACCTCTTTCCTGTAGGAGAAGAGGTAGCTCTATATTGTGCCAAATACCTGCCAGAGATCATCAAGGATCAGAAAGCATATAAAGAAGGCAAACTACAAAAGGTAAGATAGAAAGGCTATCTTCCAAAATTATAGAACAGCATGCCAAAGAAGTACAATTCTAATTCTGTGAAGGATTCATTTCATGATTCCATTCCGTCTTTCCCCAGTCTTTGCCATCTTGATCCTTTTAAGATATTTTCTTTGACTATGTTGTAAAATACCTAAATTGCTTGTTAAAAACTAGAATTTAGCATAAATATGAAGCCAATTCTGGTTGGAAATTGGCTATTTTTTGTGTAACAACGAAAGAGAAAGTGACAGAAATATTTTTGTCCACTGGTATGAATTGTGGTGCAGTATAGTATTAGCCTGTTTACTAGGGATATTAAGAACTATATCATACATCTTGGATAAGTTGCTATTTAAATAGTTTTTAATATTTATGGTGGTCACAAAGAAATCTTCCTTTATTTTTTCTTATTAGGCACTTGAAGATGCTTTTTTGGCCATTGATGCCAAGTTGACAATGGAAGAAGTAATCAAGGAATTGGCACTGATGTCAGGGCGGTCTCGAGATGAGGGTGATGAGAAAGAGATGAAAGTGGCAGATGAAGATGATGGTGAGTGAAGCAGCAACTTGCAGTCCAGTGTGCAGATCAGAGGCAAAAGCCAAGTACCAGTAGGGGAGCTCTTATATCAACTTTGTATATAACTGAGTTTAAATGCCTAAAGTGGAAAGATGTCTGAGATCACATTTCCTATGTTGTGTTAAATTTGATGTAAGCAAATCAAACCAGAGATCAAGTCTTTGACTATGCCAACTTTAAGAAAGAGCCTAGACAAAACCAGAGGTGGAGAACTAACAGTTCTAAGCAAGCATTGCTGTGACTGGGGTAAAGAGAATTAATTCAGCATCATGTTTGCACTTACACACCCAAACAGTTGCTGCTTGGTAAAAACAGTTTATACAGTTAGGAAAGCTAGTGTCTGGCCCAGTTACAATGACATGTGACCTTAGGACCGGCAATTTGTAGTGAGGAATATAATTCCACCTGTATTTTAGCATGTAGATTGATGTCATGTATAAAACTCTTGTTCCTTTAGTCATAATAAATGACTTTCCTGAGCTATGATTTTAAAAAGGTAGGTAACTGGATGTCACATTGAGACTGGCTGCACTTTCTCCCCCAATACTCCCATACAGTGGACAATGAGGAGACTGCCTTGCTGCATGAGGAGGCTGCAATGACTATTGAGGAGCTTCTGACTCGATATGGGCAAAACTGTATCAAGGGCAAGCTGGGTCCACCAGGCAAAGATGTAACCCAGGAAAATGCCCAGGAGCCAAGTTTGAATGGTGAAGTAGATGCTGAGGAGCCCTCGAGGCGTCATAAAGAGGGTGAAGAAGAGGAGAAAAATGGCAAATTGTGCTCTGAGACCATCAGTGCCTCCCATGGTCCAGATGTGGCTGGTGGAGGGGATGCTGGTACTTGCCAAAAAAAGACAGCTGAGGGAGCATCTCCTGCCAGTGGTGAGATGGAGCCATCCTGCTCGTCTGCAAGCAAGAGCCAGCAAGTGATCAAGTCAATGTTCTTTGAGGACAGTGAGGATGAATCAGAGGATGCAGAAGAGGAGGAAGATGACGATAGTGAGGTACCATCACCATTTGGGCAGTGGTGGGGGGCATTTTATCCTTCCATAGTTGAGCTGAAAAAGTAGAACTTAGCCTTCTTTACAGATGAAGGCTAAGAAGGCAGCACCCCAGGTCCTGAATGCAGGACAGCAGCCAGAGCCATGGGGTCCATTTAATTTCTGTTACGGGTGGATGTATTACATTTTGATTAGGAATGCAGTGAGGATGAGGATAGCTACAGCAGTGAGGAAGAAGAATATGATACTGAAGAAGCAGAAGAGGAAGATGATGAAGACATGATGCTCCCAGGAATGGAGGGCAGAGAAAAGGTCAGTGTTTGTGAAGAAAGAGGGGAAGGAATAGGGGCACAGGGGTCCTTACTGAAATTTGCCGAGCTTCTTTTGCTCTTATCCTGGTTTGAGGCCCACTCTTTCAGTAAGTCTTGTGCTTCAGCATGGGCTCTCCTCACAGTTCTCTTACTCTTCAGCCTGGCTCAGACAGCGGCACAACGGCGGTAGTAGCCCTTATCAGAGGCAAGCAGCTAATAGTAGCCAATGCTGGAGATTCCCGGTGTGTGGTGTCTGAAGGTGGAAAGGCTGTGGATATGTCCTATGATCATAAGCCTGAAGATGAGGTGGAATTGGCCAGAATAAAGAATGCTGGTGGAAAAGTAACCATGGATGGCCGGGTAAATGGTGGCCTCAATCTCTCCAGAGCAATTGGTGAGTAAACAAGTATGCATGTGCTAGAGTTACAGGGTGGCAGCCACTACCGACAACAAGCACCACATCTCCCACTCAGCCTTCAAATGACAAAAACATCACACATGCAATCTTTCAATCTGCAGCCTCCTGTTCTCTGAAAGAGGAAGCTATTTCTTCAATCACCTGACCTGGAGCTATTGAAGGGCCTTAAATACAAAGGAAAAGGAGTTATGTCATAAAGAAAATAGAACTATCTAAATATAGATTATTTTATAATGCTTCTTGTTTGCAAATCAAACCTTGTACTAATGGGACTCATTTTTAACAATCGTCAGAAGCCAGCTTTTGAAAACTCAAATGCAAAGGACTGACAACTTTTCCTATTGAATGTTCCAGCAACAATTAGAAACTTAGGTCCATGCTAAATTTTAAAGCTGGCTTAATTGTGGACATTCAATTGTGCCCATTCACAAAAAAAGGCTTTAAACATGGTACATATGCTTGATGCCATCTGTGACTTGGCCAAAAAAATATAGCATGTGTGAATGTGAAAGTAGCGCGAAGCAAGAATTGGTTGCCAATAGTGAATCCTTTGACTAAAAGTGGCTTAAATGTTGTGGATATGGTATCTAGATCAGGGGTCCCCAACCCCTGGGCCATGGTCTACTACCGGGCCGTGGCCGGTTTGGAAGTGGGCGACGTGAGCAGCTGGTCCACGCATGCATTCATGCAGCTCATCTCACATGAGCAGCAGACCAACACGCACATGCAACTCAACACAGATGAACAGTGGGCGGGTTCACACACACCAGCCCACCACTTGCATCAGCCAGTTCCTCCCCCCACACCACTCTGTTAGGCCACCAAGCCATAAAGTTTGGGGACTAGATTAAATGGGTCTTTTAGCCAGTCCACCCACATTTGGGGGAGTTATTTTCAGGAGGATTTACTTTTTTTTTTTTTTTGTAATTTGTCTATGGGAGCATGAAGCTCAAATTCCAGAATCACTTCAATGAATATTCATTATTAAGCCAGTTTGATTTGATCCGTCATGGAAGTGAATTCTGGCTGCTTGATTTGGAAGAAATGGAATGTGTAGCTAGCTAGCTGCATACAAACCAGAATTTAACTAAAAAAAACCCTGATATGTCAAAGGTGTCTTTCTGCTTGAGAAATGCTTTGAATGTTCTGGGGATTTTTTTTCAGTTAGTGAGCATAGCCCAGCTTTCTCCTTGTTGCTGCACTTTTCTCTGGGACAGTGAACCTTCAAATAAATCTCTTGAACATTTTTGTATCTTAGGAGATCATTTCTATAAACGTAACAAGAATTTGCCTCCAGAAGAACAGATGATCTCAGCGCTGCCAGATATCAAGGTGCTGACAATCAACGATGACCATGATTTTATGGTCATTGCCTGTGATGGCATCTGGTAGGTGGAAATTGAGCTTTGGAATAAACAAGAATCCTTCCTATGGTAGTCGGCTGACGCTTAATTTCTTTCAATATACTTGGGGAGTAGAGAATGCTGATAACTTGCACCAAGTCAAGACCTAGAAGGGACTATAATTACAAAGCTGAGGGCAGGTTGATGTAATTGTAACCTATTGTAGTCTTACATTTATTTTTCATGATCTCTCTCTTTTGCTCCTAATCCAGGAATGTCATGAGCAGCCAAGAGGTTGTGGATTTTGTTCAATCCAAGATCGCACAGAAGGGTGAAGATGGAGAGTTGCGATCTCTTTCATCTATAGTAGAAGAAGTGAGTTGGAGACTGGTGGATGTGACAGTTGAAATTAAGTATAGGAATATTTCTATAGTATATGGAAAAAGGCATTCAGTTCTCAGGTTTAGCAGATTTTTTTTTAGGCTACAAGATAAGAGTTATATTTGATATAGTTCAGATTGCCAGGAGAAATGATCTGATTGGGGCTCTAAAAAGTTTCTCTTTGAAAGCACCCAAGAAGGACTAGATCTTGAAATGCACCAGGCATGCACTGTTTACTGACCGGGTCCCAATTGGTTAAACCTGGGGAACAGTCACCTATCTTAATAACAAATTATCTTCAGGAACTGAAAAAATGTTACAGGGTAATCATTTAGTTTCATAGTCCACTTCTAATAAATCATCCTCAGTTTACACAAAGATTCCTTCCTGCAAGTCTATTTGCCGGCTGCCTGGCAGGTATCGGAAACCATCAACTATTGCCTGGATTTCTCTGTGCTTTGGGTTTAATGAGTGTATGCCAGAAGCTGAATTTCATGCCGAATTCATTCTCTAATTTTTGTCTATAAACAGCTCCTGGATCGTTGCTTGGCTCCTGACACATCTGGTGATGGAACAGGCTGTGACAACATGACTTGTATCATCATCTCTTTTAAACCACACATCAGTCAAGGCTCCCCTGTTGAGAGCAGCAAACGGAAACTGGAGGATAGCACAACAACTAGCCCCACAGAAGAGGGTTGTAGCAAGAAGTCCCGACAGGACTAGCAGCCAAGTTGGGTAGGGAATTGCCCATGCTCTCACTGGACTCTTGTTTTCTAAACAAAGCTGAACTTTTGATGCCTGTTTTAGGCTTTTTTATCCTTAGGGAGGTCCATTTTGTCTTTATTATTTGGAGGGAAAAGGGATTCAGGGTGGGTCCCATTGGTCTTTGAAACCATTCCAAAGAGTGAATGACAGGGAGGATCATAATCTGGCCAAAGCCCAGAAGGCAGTCTACCTGCTCAAACACTCTCTGTCCCACAGTTACACACACAGACACAGACCACTGCAGCGTCTCTCTGGTTGTTGCCATTTCCGTGCCTGTAATTTTTCTGTGGGCAGGTAGCAGTTTTACAGTGTGGAGATTTCAGAGCTGCAGTTCTATTTAAGGCCTCCACTTTTTTTAAAAAAAAATGTGGGACTGATTGCCATCTCCCCCCCTCCCCCCCCGCAACCAATGGCTACCAAGCCCCGACTGTCATTCATTTTAAACTGAGATTTTTTTTTTCAAACTAAAAACTAAAACTCTTTATCAGTGACTGTGTACTTTTGTAAAATTGTGAGGGGAAGTAAGATGAACTGAACTATTATGTAATTCATTGATTCTGTAGTTTCTTCCCTTTTCTTGTTCATTCCCTTTTCTTCCCAATTCCTTTCCCTCTGTGAGTTCCATGCCTATGACTTGCAAGGTCTTATTCTGCCCAAACAAACTAGGACCAACACCAAATTGTCTTGTCCGTGGAAACTTAACCCTTATGATTTCCCCAGGAAGCTTGCAAAAGACAGACACCCCCCATTTGTTTTTGTTCTATGTTTTGTCTTGTAGAAAAGTCGGATTCTTTTCTCTGAATGTAGGGGAACCTAAATTTAGCCGCATGGTTTTTATTAAGACTTGAATGCAACCCTGTAGGCCATGAAATATAGCACTCTTATTTTGTAGCCATAAATTTCAATTTGAACTTGAACAAAAGTGGGAATTGGAAGCCTTTGAGACACAAATCTTTGGTTTCCAATACCACCCTTAAAACTCCCCAAACCTGAAAACAAATTGGCCACCATTATTTTAGCCTCCCACAAATGAGCCAAAACTGTGAATGTCACTGGAATATCTCTTCCAGCTGGTTGCAGTGTGGTTCACCAGCCCGCTGCAAGTTGTTTGCCCTTTTTTTCCAAGACGCTTTATAACAGCTTTTTCCCATTTTGTTGCATCTATTGTTCCTACACCATAGATTTGTATAAGTCCAACCCAAAGTTGATTTTCAACCTATTTTGCCTCATTCCTATGGAATATAGGATCATAATATTACCAGACATTGAAGTTCCTTCTTCGGTTTCAATATTGAGGTGAAAATTTAAGTAATCTTTAATTACTTGCAACTTTAAGTGGAATTACTGCTGTTCCATTAGATTTCTGAGGAATTCCTTAAGCGATCACTCAGGTAAAGCTAGCATGTTTTAACGTTCAGAAATTTCATAGGAGCCTATTCTACACTAATGGCTTTAATAGTAAGTCTCTTGTGGGACTTGCTATAAAGCAATCCACAATGTAGTCCAGAATCCCTCATAAGATCTAGCCTGGCTGCATGTGCACCCTTTTTCACCCTACCCATACAAGCTTTCTTTGATTCTCTGAAATTGGCATTAGGCTTTCACTTGAGGATTTCCCAGTTTCCCCAAATCTCAGTCTTCATCCAGAAGATTAACATATGTAACTATTTTATCACAACTGAAACTCTGGCCTATTTAGATCAGTGCTTTCACTTCCACAAGTACTCTGCTCAAAGTGGTTACTTCAAACCATTTAATCAGAGGTAGGAAATCTACGATTCAGGAGATCTAATCCATATGGGCAATTATGAGTGATGTTTGAAGTTGTAATTCAACATCTGGAAGATGAGAAGCTTCTCAAGCCTCCTTTAATGTGAATCTGGCCTCACAGTTGTTCTCTCAGTGGTTGTTCAGCAGTTTAGCCCCATCTGACAAGACTTCTTCCCACCATCTAAGTAGGTAACGCATGGAGTTCCATCCCTACATATTAAAATGGGAGGATCCATTAGACTCCTCTGATAGCTGCTATTTATTATCTTGAAGCACCAAAGATCTTAATCAAGTGGAAGGCAAAATGGGGGCTAAAAGATGCCAAGTGTTTGGGTAACCAAAGTGAGCAGTGATGAATCTTGCATGGGCTGTTGTAGACAGACTTGGCTTTCAAGCTAGGAGAACTTGGATCTTCAGTCCACAATTGCTTCTGTGTGTTGCTTTACTCTGTCATCACTCCTGCCAAACTGCAGCCATCACTTGTGTAGGCGAGCGAATCTGCTGAAAAGCTGTGGCCTGATGCAGCACTACAGAGACTGTGCTCACCGGCAGCCTGTGGCTGAGTTTCAATCTCCACTTCCACTTCCACCATATTCAGGCCATCCCTGCACAGGGGAAGAACAGCACTTCTTGTGAACGGGGAGGGAATATGGCTCAGAAAAACAGGGTAGAGAGTTATAATTCACAATATTGCACTATAAGGCAAACTGGGAAGAAGAGGAGTATGTTTTTGTGTTTCTCCCCTCTGCGCTACTGTATTGTTTCTGAACTGAAAACAGGAGGAGTATGTCTGCCATGACTGAGAAACTGGAGGTAGCAGTGAGATGGAACCTGTCCCAAAGAGGACTTGCAACAGCCCAATAAAGCAGAACTGAGCCAACACTGCTTGTTCAATAGGTCTTCCTTCCCTGCTCTTCTGTTCCATTCAGAGATTACTTATAAGGAGTAACTTTGCTTGGGACTCCCTCCAACCCAAGTCCACTAGACTGACCTGTGAGAAGTTTCTTGAGCTTCACTCAGCATGCTGCCTGCCAAGGCTACAGTGCTGGCAGATTCGCTTTTCCAATCTTTTTGGCATGGTTCTTCGTGTTGACTGTTACTTGAATGGGGGATGGAAGCAGAAGCCCCCTTCTCGGGCACCATGGGGGTAGGCAGGACAGCCAGCAGTTCGTTCACTGGTATGAAGAAAGAAAGGATAAACATGGCAGCATCCCCTTTCTTGGCATCAAAAATATCTTCACATATTTAGGTAACCTCTGCAAGGTTTCCTTAATGGAAATGTTGATCCTGTGAGACCTAATAGAATGAAACTGTCTGCAAGTGCAGAGATTGAGCAAAGTTTTCAAATGGTACTAAAACAAAAAAAGAGGAATAAAAGGGTTAATTGTCACACCGTTTTTAAAAAGCTCACAAATTCTGAATATTAAATGTCAGTTTTAGAAAGCTGCTCTGTTGTGGTATTTCCCATTTGTTACTACTACTATCTTTTAGCAATTGTAGACAATACGAGCATGAGATACCCGTAACTGTAGCTATTATACAAAGGGAGCAATGCAAAAGTTAGGGGAGTTCCTGAGACATTCCTTCATCACTTAGAATTAAAAAAGGAATCACTTCTGAGTTTTCTGGGATAATTAGAAAAAAATGGCATTTTAAGAATCCTGGCTATGTAATCAAATGAATCAGTTAAACTGGTTTTCACACAATGCCTCCTTTGCTGTCAGCCTTAGTGCATCGCCAAATTACTGACAAAGTTTTCTATGTATATTTGTTGGGAGAGCTGTCAAGACTTAAAACAGGCAAGGAGTGGAACTCAATGGGAATTTTAACACTATGACATTTCTGAAATAGTACTGAATAATACCAGCTATATAAAAAACATAGGTAAATATTGTCAAAAGATTGAAAGCTAGGTGGTTTTCGTTCATCAAAAACTAAATTTTGTAGGAACACACCACCTGAAACCCAGATAGGAAGCTGTAACATAACTCATCAAATTGACATGACAGCTTTCTTCCATAAACAAAACCAAGCGAGATATTCCCTTACCAGAATGGCTGCAAAACTAAGATATTGTTCCAATGTAATACTATTGGAACCTATATGTAATTGCAAGCCAGCAAATAAGAAATATTCAGAAAAAAACAGATTGCTGTATCTGCCATTGTAGATTCTTCTCCCACACTTCAAAGCGAAACATCAACTTTCTAATGGAAAAATTAGAATAAGTTATTTTACGGAAGGAGGCTTAAAGGGCAAAGCAATAATATATTAAATGAGAGCCACTTGTGATGTGTCCCTCCCCTGGACTAAATTACTTTGCCTCTCTGACTTCGGCACAACTCACAACAACTCACGTACATTTGGCGAGGTTCTCCAGTTCCACTGTGCTGAGCTCCCCAGCTTCCTTTCGGGAGCTTCCACACCCCCAGCGATTCCGGCACAGAGAGAGTACCACGACCCCATACACGTAGGTGAGCATCAGGGGCACACCCACCCCTGCAGGCAAAGAGCCTGTTATAAGAACCACCTCTGTTCAAGGACTGTTCATGCAGCCATGCAATTCATGAAGGGCAGAAGATTTCCCTTTCAGTTCGAAAGCAAAAAAAACAAAAAAACAACCACCTTATGGATCCACACGTACCCTCCCATCTCGGTCTCCTTGTGGCTCTTACCAACAGTGACAGCTGTGATGACAGGGGACACAAAGAGAGATAGGAGAATACTGCTGGCAACAGAAAGACACTGCTGGCAGCCTGACAGTTTGCTTTTGCGCCCGTGGTTCAAAACCTGGAGGAAAAGTAAAGAAAGAATAAGAGGTCCCCAGAAAAAGTACTTTTTAATTTGGCCTAAGCTGCATTTCCCATGAGCCTACGAGAACATCCTATGCACATTTTAGGGGCCTCTGTGATTATGAAATGGTATGGCCTCCATGCAAGTCTCCTTACCTTCTTCCCTGTGTAAATGGGTATGCCCAGGGTGATGACCGGTACTGCAATGCCAGCAACAATTGAGATCACCATTGGGGCACCCAACACCATGCCTAGCTGCCATAGGAGCTTCCGGGTTCGAGACCAGGGCTTCTTTCCCCAAAAGGTGCAGCCAGAAGGACTGAGGAGAAAATAGGAATCAGTTATGAAAATGGGGACATTCAAAAGTACAAACTGCAGATACCCTTACATTTTCCTCTTGGTTAACACAGGGCCTGCTTCCATGCATTTCCAAAGCAGTTTTTTCAGCGCTGGATTAGGCCGTTTCTGAAAACCAAAGTCCCTTTCCCAGAATTGCACACTCACATAAACAGATCTTTGTGAAATCCACTCCTGTTGTTCCCTAACCCCTACTGGACTTGATGTAGCCCAATCTCTTTGCCTTCAATATGTACAAGATGTGGATCTCACTCATCTAGAGAGAAGTATAAAGGTATTGTTTCAGAAGTTCAAGGCTTTCTGAAATTCTTAGTTCATAAAATATTCTTAACCTGCTGCCAGTAGTTTTTTATTTATTTGTTCTCAAAATTCTATTAAAAGTTGTTATCCACTTGGCTGTTTTTGATACCAATTTTGTTGTAAATGTCTATGTCACTATGCGACTTTCTATGGTAGAATAGTGATAGGTAAGTTTAATGTATGGCATATTTATAAACTTAGCTTTATATTAATTTTATTAAAATTATAAGATGAAAGATTAAAAACTAAGATGTTTAGAAGAAAAAGAGAAGTAAAAAGAAGGGAAATAAGAACGAAGCCAAAAGTGCAAGAGATAACAATAAGTATAAAGAAGTTACTTCCAATGTTCTTTTACAGCAGTTAGAGGTAAATTAACCTCTTACTCTATGGTTATAATATTTTTATTTTTAAAATGGCATGTCTGTCTAAATAAATGGTGCCCTGGATTCTGAGTCAATTATAAAACATTCTTTACCTGCAATGACTCATCTTATCCATGTTATTTAATTTAGTGAGTATATAAGTAGATATAGGAGATTGCAATCTCATCATCTAATCCAGGGGTGTCAAACTGAGCTCAGGAGCAAGTTTCCACTGGCAGAGTGCTCGGGCCACCATAGGTGACTGCTGACACAGTGACATCATGCTTCCACGCCCATCATGGGTGCCGCCCCCTCCCCAGATTAAACACAACCCTG